GGGTCGATTGAGCCGAATGACCATGCGGTTCCACTGACTATACGTGCCATTATGCTCCATAAGTTGCCGTAAGGTGACAGTCAAAATCGTATATTTTAGAGATTAGCCTGCTCATGACGTTAAGATGACTCGGCACGAGAAAGGTTAGAATTAATGAATTATTTTGAAAAATGACTTGCGAATTGAGGCCAATCGATAAACGACACTTTTTCTCACTAGCGCAATTGCGAGTCAGCTATACAATACATTTCATCGTAATTACGAATACGATTAATCAGTTAATCGACACTTGAGAGAAAAACTATAGAGAAAGAAAAAGATAAGATATTCGGGAAAATATCGTATAGAGGTACGTTTATTAAATGGAATAATTTCCTCTCGCAGCTTTGCCTAATCGTATCTTGTACAAATAGAGAGTGAAAATATGAATCCCAATATCGGAGAAATTCATTCCATTGCGGCGAGAAAAACCCAGAGAGTGTGGAAAACTTTTCATTAACGTTATTATCAAAAACCGTTATTAAAAATCAAAAACTGTCCTATATTATTAAATTATCGGAGAGTAAATTTCATATTTAAAAAGTTATCAACATATATTATAATATATTAAACATTGAAATAATCGATATTTTCGAAATTGTTCAAATATTTTATATTTACGCGATTGAATAATACGTAAATTGTTACAGTCGATTAAATATTAAAAGGTCATGTTTGCTTTCGCAATATTAGCTGATATGTTTCCGATCATTCTTTACGATTTAAAAAATGAATGCAACAGATCGAATGTCATATATAGGACAAGCTGACAATGTACGATATCAGCTATTGGATAGTATTCGACTTTTATCTGGATTCTGTATTCATCAAGAATAATTTTATCTCACTCAACGTTTGAATAACGTGATAGTATGTCGTGTTTGGAATTTTGATACAACTACATAATATTTGTATTTTCTTAAATAAAACTCTCATATTACTTACTCGTATTTACCTAAATATCATTCTTTAATAATTGCTGCACGATATCCAGCGTATTTCTTTTAATTATTATTAGAAAAATGTTATACTTCCTCTTAAATGAAAACTGAAAGACTTCTTTTTTTTTTAAAAGAAATTAAAAATAGAATTTATAGCAATTTCTTAGAACGACAAAAACTACTTAAAGGAAAAGAAATTATTTACTATAAAATGTTCCTAATTTTCTATCTTAACATATTATTTTTCCTTTCTTTTATTTAATAAAATAAATAATTGTTGTACAAGCAATTGTTGTACACATTTTGAAAATCGAATAAGTTCTCGAATAGATTCACCTTAATGAACTCTCCAATACTCATAAACGTATCTAATCATTTCTCCGAATAAGAGCAATCGATGTGCTTCGTGCGAACTCACGTAATCGAGAAAAAAATAGCAAATACAGCTGAAATCGTTAAACAAGTTCCCAGCAAGTACATGACGAAAATATATATCGACTTTCGCATGACGTAATATTACGGTGAGGCGACGGCCAAACTATAATGACGTAAGTTCTAACTATTAGCATAGCAATCACAATGCGGAACAATGCTAACCAGAAGTAATTATTATTGCAATAATTAGGAAATTTGCGGAAACTCCAAAAATTCAATAAATGAATTTTTTTCAAGAACAATAAAAGATGTAATAAATAATATTGTTGTATTGAGAGATTATAGCCTCTTTAACATGCGTTAATATTTTTTAATTTATATTATATGCATAAAAGTTTATATAAATTGATATGTGCTACATAAATATATATTAAAAAATTACAAAAAATGCGAAAGTAAAATGAGACATTGACACTGATTAATGATTCCAATTCATGTCTTATAATTCTATAATAGATGTATTGTACATTGTCTAGCAACAATTATGCCTTTATTGAGTCATTTCTCAAATAGTGCTGATAGTGCAATGCTAATACATTAAGTATTGCAGTGAACTTTGTTCGGCATAATTACAAAAGTTTGTTATGGAGATAAAATTGCGGCAGTTTCGCGAAAACTAATAGTGAAATGCATGTAGTTTTACGCAAAATAAAAAAGAGGCCACTTCTGACTTCTAAAACGATCATTTGATTAAGTTTGCGACAAAAGCATTGTGTTATTGTAAAGGAGAAAATCTATGCAGCTCATACGATGTAAAATCGATGCATACAAATCACGCTAAACGTGATAATCTAACGGAATCGATAAAGTAATTCGATTTCGATAAAATGAAGAATGTTGCGCTCGACCGGAGGAAGCACGATATTTAAACGGTCTCTCAGACCGATAAAATCTGTTTCGGAGTGAAACATATCGGCCATCAATGCATATAGAACGATACATACGATTGATGAAATCTGTCAAACTAAACTAATAAGTTACTGCATAGCTGCAATAAGAATTAATCAATTACACATTATATTCGTTAGTTATTATATTGAGTTGTCCGGAAAGTTCGTGCCGCAAAAGATTTAAATTTAATAAATATATACTAAAATCTTCTGCGTTTCAATTTTCCTTCAAAATTGGCATGAACTTTCCGGACAACCCAATATAATAAATAATAAAAATAATTAAAAATAATTTAATAGAATCTTAATTAGAAGTTTAACTTTTGCACAGACAATGTTATAAATTAAAAAGATGTATAAAGTCTTTTAGGTTTCAAATTAACAAAAAACAACGGGATAAATATGAAAAAATATCTCTTATGAGATACTTACTTTATTTCGTAAATTAAATATCAAAGAAATACGATAAATTAATTTACTGTTAATTCAATAATATAAAAACATCAAGAAATAATAGATAATATCAAAGAAAATTTAAGAAATAGTATTTATTTATTTTGTATAATAGATAATTGATTAATGACATTTATCCATCATTTAATACATAATGTTGCACGAACGAAATATCATTATAATTCAATCATGTCATGCAAAATTTTAAGCAGCAATATATGCAATATTATACGCATATTCATAGTCGACTTTTTTCAGTATTTTGTCTTGCATTATGCATATAAAGCAAATTGCATTTTATATCATACATTTCGTGTATTTTATGCCTTATAAACATAAATTATTAAGCATTATTATTTCATAATATATTATTAAATTTGTGCACCGTAAACCTACTACAGAGAAGTATTTTACGAAAATGTAATAGTTAAGGATTCCATGCAGGGTTCTTAAGTATGCAAGTTATATTGTATTTATATCTGACAGACATCTGTATCCTTACTTGTACAGCAAATTTAAAAAATTTGCGATTTAATTTGTGTAAGAAAAATCTTGTGTTTTATAATTTACATAAAATTTTCAAATCTGCTTTTTTAATTTTATCAACAGTGAAGACTAAATAAATTTTATTAATAGTAATAATAAAGACTGAAAGAGATGAAATCACGAAGGCAATTGAGTTAGCGAAGCTGCCTATTTACTAAAACTTTCTCAAAATTGCTTGCAAGAAATAAGGCATAATAAATTTGCTTCCCTTAAATTTCTCCTACAATTCACCATTACAAAAGACTCCCCCAATTTTTTCCATTGTTAATCATTCCTGTTGGCAGATAAACATTCATAACAATGATTTATGAACATTGCCAAGTAATTATATTCATTAACTTAATGGCAAACGAACCAAAATATTCTGCTTTTGAAAATATTACTAACTAAATGACAACATTTTGGGAGATTATGTTATCATGTTTTTATTAAAGTAAAATATTAATTTTTCTCTTTGATGCATAAAAAAAAATTATTTTATAATTGAGAAACATTTTAACTATATATAGATATAATAATTTCTCTAAATCGTTCAAATTATAATTATTGCTTGTTTTATTATTTTAAAGTTAAATTCACACAATGATTATAAATTTTAAATTAAAATTAAAACGATTGAAAAATTCGTAGAGAAAAGAATAAAGGAATTTTACAGAAATATAAAATAAATAAAGTGAAAATTGAATACACCACCCCCGAGTTGACATAGTGCAAGTGCACTTCCTCGAATCGCTTACGAATTTATGAGACTGGCGGACAAACAAGCAATACAAGACTATTGAATCGATCAATGCAGTCGCCATTCTGATTAATCGTACCATTAGACAGCTATGGAATCTCCAGCTTTCTACACAGCCATCTGTCGAAAACTATTGATTATTATTTATAGCACAATTTCTGTATGAAATTTGTTTTTCTTTAACGAAAATGTTGAAAATGTTGAAAAGTAATTACCGATTAAAAATCAAAAGGCTGCTAGTAAGCTTCAACAAAAGAATGGCAAAGCAGTATTATATTCTTTATTTAATTTCAAATAGAATTTGCTTGAATGGAAATTTGATTTAACTTGAAAAAGTTATAAAGATATATAACATTGAAAATGAATTCTTCTTTAAAATTCATAATATAATTCATTTCAGAATTCTGTATGAAAGGTCTTTTTCACCAACTTCTGATTAAATTAATCGACAATCAACTCGCAAAAATACCAACAGCAGTTTTATATACATATCAAAATAAACATATCCTTTCTCTTTGTCTTCTAAGACAAACTGTGTTTAGTCCTCACGTTGATAATCGTGATGATTGAGTTAAACATCGATCAGGGTTAATCAGAGTTGGTGAAAGAAGCTTGAAATGCTTCTACTAAAAGTTAGACAAAACGGATAGGAAAATACTGCACAGAGTACAATAGAGATATTTTGAATTTCGCTATAAGAACAACTTTATTTTATTATCACTTATTGCTTAATTTTCATTTTATTTTATTCTTCATTATTATTACATTATATATAGAGCAGCAAAATATCTAACATAAAAAGATGTTACTATTTCCTTTTTTCCTTGAAATATCTATATATATATTTTTAATAGAAGAGATAATATTTTTAATAGGAGATATCAAATTGCAAATTATTTAATTTGCAATAAATCGGAATATCCGCAGTGCAATTATATGATTTCTTAGTCTCCTCACCTTATCAATCGGCATTGAAGGGCACGCACGGCAGAGGTTCCAAAATGAACCAATCATGAGGCCGCGGTGTGTGAGGCAGTGGGACAGTAATAATGACACACAGCCGCTGCGTTAGCGAGCGACGAACGGAGGCCGGCCGTTTCTCCGCGACGATGACGACGGACAACGCCGTCGGTAGACCAGAACGCAGATGTTCTGCCGAAAAGAAGGACGTAGTTTTTCTCGACGTCAATTACGGGAGATACACCACTATACGGATCCTCGTTCTCGCCCACCTCTCACTATCACAACACCACCTCTTTCTTCTCAGCCTTCAAGGCAGTGTTTGTAAGTGGCGCTCGGGCTCAGGCACGGGCTCCGAATTGCTCCCTCTGCGTATTTGTGTATATTGTGTCAAGTACGTACATAAAGCGATATTTAGATATATTAAGATGCATACATATATTTTATATACATGTATATATAAATATATGTATCAATAAAATTACATCGCCTTATAATGAGTATGTGATGTACGTACAAGATGAGCCAATGAGAACTTTCCATCTCATTTTTTTTTTAACCGACTGATTGCAAAATATTATAATATATAATTGTGAAAAACATGCCATTTTTGTTTTTAAGGAAAATGTATAATTATATATATTTATTCAAATTATTGTTTCATCTTCTTGATTAAACTCCCTTCACAAATATTAAATGGCAGTAAGTGTCAAGTGGCACAACGTTTTAAAGGTTTTTTTTAAATTTTCTTTACAATTATCCTATTTTTTTTTATTTGAGAATATCTCAAAAAATTTTTAAGTCTTAGATATTAAAAATTAAAAATTCAATTCAGTGACTTGAAAAGATTATCTAATTTTTCTTCATTATATTTTTTTTTATTTAAGATACTTTAAAAAAGAATTTGTATTATGACACAGGATTCTATATATAAGATGATTACGTTACAAGATAGTCACTGGAATTTAAAAAGACAGATTCTGATGAATTTCAAGGGAACTAAAAAATTCTTAAATATATGTCATCTAATTCCTATTGTCACTTAAAATTTTTAAAGGGTTAGCTATCTTAATCAAGAAGAGCAGCACAATTTATCATATACATTTCCTTTTGAAAAACAAAGTTGACGTGTTCCAGCATAAATCAGTTGATTACAAAAAACAAGGTGGAAAGTTCTCTTGGCTCATTCTGTGTGTGTGTGTGTGTGTGTGTGTGTGTGTATGTATGTATGTATGTATGTGTATGTGCGCGCACGCGCGCGTGTGTATGTGTGTGTGTTTTATAACACGATACTATGTAATATATACATCATTATATAATATATATATATATAAATTTCTATAATTTTTGAATGGGATTTTTCACACGACTTTGTAAAATGTCTCTTTTTTTTCTTTTCTATCGACAAAATGGAAAAGAAAACCTTGTTTTTCATCTTTTCACAAAAACATATTTATCTTAAAAATATTCAAATATTGATCCTGAATAAAAAAAATGTTTATATTACATCTTTAAAATTATACAAACATCTTTAATATTTTCTCGTAATTTTCAATCTAGAAAATTCTGTTACACCTTTGGCTATAAAGAGGTATAAAAGGCGTGTATAAAGCGGTAGCACCGATATGTGGATGCGTATGTGTGAGTACACGTATACGAATGAAACACAATGCCAGCATTTGCGCGTACCGTACGGTCCATCCGATGGATTTTTCTCCGACGAAAAAGAAAATTGCGAAATGGACCCCAATATTCAGGTTAAGGTTAGCCTCAGGCTTCATGTTAAAAACGATCAGTAAGCGACCGTACACTTATCGGAAGCGCCGATAACGGAACGAAATGGCAAAAGAGATAAAACGCAGATCTTCGTATAAGACGCACATGAGATAGCTCATAAATACATTGGAAATGTGATTGATAGAATATGAAGTGATTCGAAATAAATCATTACGAAGTTTTCGAAGGATTCAAATTTACTAGCTAGTAATTGTACGACATTTGCAAATGATTAATTAAGTTTATACGTATTGGTAATAATATCTCAAGGAAGTTCCTTGAAAAATATAAGAAACGATAGATTTATATTTATCAGCATATTGAAATATGCAAAAGAGGCAAATATTTTGTTATGTATTATGTTATAATACTTATTATATAAAAACTGATATTAATACATTATAATGTGAAAATTATAATATTCATAAATAACATTATAACAGGAAAATATGAAAATTGATATCCATTAATCCAACTAATAATTGTATATTGATGGGATTATAACAATGTGATTATTTTCTTAGATGTTGAGACAATATTCTGGGCAAACTAAGATCACAATGTGATTTATCTCTCATTATGAATGATATAATGAGAAGTATGAATATTAAATTAATTTTGGCGGAGCCAGTCAGTCAGAAAACAGTTATGCAGACTTCTAACAAGAGTGCGAAAGAAGGAAACGAAAGAATGGATAAGCAGCCTTCATACTTCATTCGATACTATTGTCAATGTCGTCAGAACTGAGAACAAAAGTATGTTTGAGAACAGAATATCTATCTGCTAGGTATTTACCAGGTATGACTGTTTTGCGAATGAATATACGTTTTGGTATTGTAAAATTACTCATCGCATAATTACGCGTGCCTGAGAGAATTCTTGAAAGACATGAAGAATCCATTGAATGTTGCAATACCAAGTATCAAATTAAAAAATAATAGAATACAAAATTGTCAATGACAACGTACAACCGGAACCAAGGTCATATAACTGCGCATGTGAAGATTAATTAAGAAGAACAAAGATGGTCACTTTCAAACTGATCTATCAAAGTTTGCTAATTGTCTATTAAACAAGATTCATGGGAAACCTAGCAAATCATTTAAACATATCAAATAGAATAATACGTAGTGAAAATTGAAAAACGACATTGGAGAAATTTTTCCAGACAATTCGCCAGCGAAAAAAGTGGATAAGAGCGAAATAGATCAGGAAGTGAAAAAGCCAGTCATTCTTTCTGATTTTACCGTTTCATCTCCGTCCTAAGAAACCTCCTGCCGTCAAGCATGGAGCTTCTTCCTCTTTCCCTTTTTTATCTTTCCTTCTCCCCTTCGCTCCTTCTCCTTCCTGTCTCCTTCTCATCCCCTTTCTTTATCACACCTGCCTTTTCTTCTCTCCCAATGTCTCCATCGCCCGGTCAAGTCGAAGCTTCTTGCGCACTTGTCAACTTACCGGCTCGCGTATTACAAGTACGCACCAAGAAAAGCACAAGCATCTTAGAAAGATACTCGTGACATCTTCAAAAGAAGGCGCCGGTATCAACGGATACCATGGTCGCACCGACACGACATCGGCTAGCACCAATACGAATATTTAATTAAATTTTCTTGCCGCATATCTGTGTTATATATAGACAAAGACTAGATATAGAAACGGAAAAAGAATCGCACACTGTAGATGGGTGAGTGGGATAGATACGCGCCGGTAGTGATCGCGTTAGACATGGTCGTGTAAGTGTGCAAAATAAGTAAGCAAGTAGGCGAAAGAAACGGCGACAAAGACAGACAGAGAGAAAAAAAAAGACGGATTGAGAAATTAGAGCCTAATATGTAACATTATACGTATGGTATATATATATATATATATATATATGTGTGTGTGTGTGTGTGTGTGTGGGTGTGTGTATGTATGCGTACGTACGCAGTGTACGTGTGCGCGCGTGTTGGCACCTAGGTGACACCCCGGACCGGACACGTACGAACGGCGTTCACGAGACGGAGGGCAGAACGAGAACGGAATCGTGAGAGGCACTGCTGGTCCCACCGTCGCCACACCGACGTTGCATAGAGCGCCGCGACGCCGGCAAGACGGCCCGCGGGACGGTAGGAGGGATTGCCGATGACAGGCGCAGGCGTCAAGCCGGAGCGGAGACCGGGTCGATAGTCCGCAACATCGTTCCTCCCTTGCCGGCCGGCTGGCACTACACGCTCGCTTTCTCACTCTCTCTTTCTCTCTCTCTCTCTCTCTTTTTCTCTCTTCATTTCTCTTTCTCTCCGCGCTGCTACCGCCGCATCGCTAAATTCCACGCAGTAGCGAACCGGCGGTCTGGGGTATGCGGGCGCCTTAAAGAAATTCGATTCATACTTTTCAAGGCTTCTCTATTAATTAACGTAAAGATACTTTTTTAACGTCGACAAAATTCTTAAGCAGTTTTTATAGTTATCTGCTAAATCATGTGCGTGATCTAATTTCTTTCATGTATTATTCGTTGAAAATTTAATGACTATATTAAAAATTCACGAAAAAATTCAATTAAAAATTCCTTATTTTTGAATTTTGATTATTATAATAAAATTTTAATCCTTTTTTCTTCCTTTATATGATTAGCACTAAAAAGAAATGAGAACAAACTGTTAGTCAATGAATATTATTAAATTTTATTAATAGCGTTCGTTTATTTCGATCGATGTAGATTAATTTTTGATCTCGATTCAATTTACTCTCCATCTTTTCCTAATTCTTAGACTTAAGAAAGGATGAAGAGTAAATTGAATCGAGATTAAAATTAATCTATTTTGATAGAAATGGGCATGACAATCAGTTAGGGTTCCGAGGTTCTTTAATTCGTCACTGGCTCTTCTCTATTTCTCTCTCATTGCTTTCTCGCATCATGGTTGTACATATTCGTAAGTACTATATTCTCTCTCTCTCTCTCTCTCTCTCTCTCTCTCTTCCTCCCCTACTCTCCTTTTATTCTTTCTCTTTCTCTCTCCCCTCCCTCTTTTAGCTTTCTTAATTCTCTTTTGCTTTGTAACTACTATTCGTTTGATCTAGCATCTATTTTCTAAGGAGGCTTTTTCGCCCACCGCCCACATTTCACTGTCGCATACATGTATATACATGTACGTTATTCGATGTAGAAGTAGTTCCGAATTGCCTCCACGTTCGGAAGGTGGTGATTCAGGTGGTTGCTCACGGTAGTTCTCTTCCATTTCTTCCATTGTTCAGCATCTCGATATGCGTCATTGCTCAATGCTCGCACTTTCTTCTCTTCTCGATTCATCTTCTTGTTTTTAATCTCGCTAGTGCACACTTGCAATGTTTGCTAATTGGTGTTAAGTCGTAAAGATAAATTTGAAAATGCCTTTCTTAGCGAAAGTTTTACAGCAAATCTCATTATTTCACATAATTGAAGAATTTTGATCGATCTCTTTCTTCTTTACTTTAATTTAAATATTTTAAATAGAGAGATGGACATACATGAAAATGTATAATATTGAAGAGATATCATATAATTGGATTTTTGTTAAAGAAAATTTAATTTTTGATCACA